ATATATATAATGATAATTATAATAGTATAATGATAATATAATAGATAATAGATAATTACATAAATAGATTAATAGATAATAGATAATGATAATGATAATGATAATGATAATGATAATGATAATGATAATGATAATGATAATGATAATGATAATGATAATGATAATGATAATGATAATGATAATGATAATGATAATGATAATGATAATGATAATGATAATGATAATGGTAATTGTAATAGTAATTATAATGATAATTATAATTAATATGATAATTTAAATGATAAGGATAAAGATGATAATAATTATAATAATTTATTTTAATAAAAAGATTAAGATTTAATATATAATCCTATTTCAACGAAAGCTCCTTCAATGATTAACAAAAGAAAATTATGTGGAAATGTTGACAATTTTTAAATCTAAAATAAATAGAATACTAAAGTCAAGTAAAGTCCGTTTACAATAACTAACCCAGGTAGTGGAAATTACTTAGAGCCTAAAATGTCTAGCAAAGCCGGATAAGCTTTAGTTTTTAGTTTTCCTGGTAATAAAGGAAAGTAAAATATTAATAATGTCAGTGATATAAGCAGTAATAAATAAACAAAAAATAATGAAATCTGTAAAAATAATAATAACATTAGTTCGTTTATATATGAAAAAAGTAATAAAAATTTACAAAAAAAGTGTATTCTTGTAATTGATGACAATTGTGATTTTAATATAGTACATAAAGGCAAATTAAATTCAGACAAAAAAGTTTAATTTAAGAAAAAAATAATGCAGCTTTAAATTGATACAGAAGTAATAAATGAAAAATATTCATTTGGAGGAGAGTAAGGCAAAAAAATATTAACTTAAGAAGATTTTGATAAAGAAGAAAAAGAAATTTTGGAAATTGCTTAAATGTGTGTTTAATTTATGAAAGGTGAATTAAAATAATAATAGGTTGATTTCTATAATTCTAAAATGCCTAATATAATTAATCAAAGTGAAAATTAATAAAAATAAGAAAATAATTAACTTAATTTATAATAAAATTAAGAAGATGAAAGTAAAAATGATGCTTCAGTCAAAAGAAAACGTAAAGTTATTTTTAAATTAAAAAAAATAAAATAAAAAGTTAATATAATTATTGAAAATTCGGCATAAGAAAGTGAAGTAAGTTTTTCTGTAGAAAGCATCGCTTAATAGACGCCTAATAGCAATTAATTAAATTTTGAAAATAATAATATTAATAGTCCTTAATAAATAGAATTCGCTAAGTAAATATAGCCTTTATATTAATCTATTTTAGAATGGAGTTTAAATAAATATCCAAATGAAATAAATTAATAACTGTAAATAAATTCTAATGATGCTATAAATTCTAGATTTATTTTTTAAATAATTATTTATATTTATTAAAACTGTAATTGTGAAATAATAAGAAGATAAATATTGACTGATGTCTTAATTTTACTCTAATAAAATATGTAAAATTGCAAAGTTGTTTGGATTGATAACGAATTTTATTATTGGGTTTTAAATTTAATTTTAGATTAATAGGTAATTTTTTTGTTATATTTTTTTAGTTTATTTTATCAAAGATAAAAATGATAAATTAAGAACCTAATATATTTGTATGGGAAAAAAGCATACAAATACATGCTTTATTAACAAATGCAGCAATTTAGTATGAATAGGATATCACAAGTAAACTTCAAAGTATATTTATTTGGCTTGAAACACAAAATGTAAAATATATAAACACTTAATAGAAAAATGTATTTAAGAGCGTTAATAAATTTGTTTTGAGAAGCATATGGTAAAGCATGCTTAGTAACTTAGTATAGGAATGTTACACTAATGTTAATTTATATAGTTTACAGAATTTATTATTTTGGAATAATATTATAAATATTGTAAATCTAAGTTAAGAAATTTTAATTTCTTGCTACAATTACGAAAGTGATAATTATAAAAACACTTAGTAAACAAATAGTGTTTATTTATCAATGAAAAACTATATTACAATAATTAACGAAAATTAGCCCTTACCTAAAAGTATAATATTATCTTTTTATTTTTTTAATATTTTATATAAAAAAAGATTTTATTGAAACTGTTAAAAAAAATAAATGGATTGATTCACAAACAGTATAACTTTTATTCCAAATTTTTGACTTATTATGGAATTAAACTATAATAAAAGAAAATTATTAAAATTAAACATTCCAAGAAATCGAATAATCTGTTGCAAGCTACCTAAAATATTACAGGTAACCCTAAAACTTATAAGGCTTTGACTTATTAATGTGTTATATGTAAGTGAGAGATACTTTTTTTAAAAAAATAAATCTACTAATCACACTTTATTTAGATGATCTAATAAGTAATTAAAAGATACATGAGACATAAGTATGGCTTAACAAACTCGAGAAAATAATCAAATATTATCTCCTTATATGTGAATTCGCTAAAGACAAAAATTTAAGTAATTGTCGAGAATCAATAAAAGCAGATTACATGTATATAATGAACTATTTATATTTAAAATATGAACAATCTTAATAGCAAACAAAGGAATTAATAAAATAAACAATTTATAACATTTTAGTTTTCTTAATAATTTCTGTAAATTTAATAAACATTGAAAATACCCAAAATTTATAGACAAGCCTAAACAAAAGCAAAAACTAACAATAAAATTTATAAAGCAATTAAATATTATTCGAATTATTAACATAAAATAATGATATTATAAATATTAACTTAATATAGTAATTAATAAATAATTAATTAAAAAATTTAAAGGAAACTATTTTCGCAAATGATTATATATATACATTTACCGATAATCCAGATATTCTTCATATAATAAATAAATATTATGATGAAAATTTTAAGAGTCTAAAAAATACAGCTTAAAGTACAAATCTGGAAAATTTTAATAAATTCTGTATTCAATAATAAATTTAATTAAATAATAAATAAGACATAATGGAATAATATAATAGTATTTTATCAAGTTTTTAAGAAAATTAATAAACTACATATCCAGAAGTATAATTTAAATTAGAAGAAAATGAACGTAAAATAAGAAATAAATGGAAAAAAATATGGAACAGGCTCAGAATATATAATGGTTAATGGAAAAGCAACTAATTCTCCGATTAAAATGACAATTTATATGAAAACACTCCTAAATTATTAAATAAATCCAATATTTTCTACCGTAAAATCGGTAAATACGAAACAAAATAACGTGCGAAGCCTTTTTTAAAAGTAAAACTTATAGAACCTGATTATGTGGAATGCTTTGAGATTAAATTTTAACATAAAGCTTCTTCTTATTTGATAAATAGTAATATTGAAACGTCCACAGCTTAACAAATTCGATCTTAATGTTCTTTGAATGCTCTTTCAAGCAATAATAATAAAGGAGGACTTGATGCATCTGTTAATTTAGCAGATAATAACATAAATACTATTACAAATAAAACATTTTAGAAATAAATAAGTAAGAGTAATAATTTGTTCTATAATATTGGTAAGAAATTTACAAAAAACATATCCAAAACAATCCAATCAATTCTTCCTATCCAAAAAGAAACTCAGTAACAATCTTAAATCATAAACGATGAAACTGAAGACCAAATAGAAGAAAGAATTCAAGTCACTAACGGATTTAAAAAAACAATAAATTAAGAAAACGATGAAAATAACCTGTTTTCGAAGGCTTGTGTTTGGATAACACCTTTAACCGCACGAGAAGGTGTTTTGAGTATTACCAAAGAAAATCTAGAGTTCAAGTATACCCATATATAATAAAAAAATTCACATATAGCCCTAATAGCACATAAACTTCAAGAAAGCTCTAGATTAATAAAAGAATGGCAGTTAAATAATATTAAATAAATCTAAAACAGAAGATTTATTTTGAAAAGAACTGCTTTAGAAATTTTCTTTTTGGATGGTTCTTCTATTTTTATGAATTTTTTAAACAGTTAAGATTGCGAATAAATAAGTTAAAAGTTAATCAGAAGTAGAAATAAAAGATGTCCAAATTTATAATATAATAAAACTTTAAATCCTAAAAAATTACTTGAAAAAGAAAATATGATGTAAAAATGGTAAAGCAGGAAAATCTCAAATTTCGAATATTTAATGTATTTAAATTCTATAGCTTCCCGTACTTATAAAGACATTGCTCAATATTTCATTTTCCCTTGGGTAATAACTGACTTCTAATCCAAAGATATGTACAAATCGATAAGAGATTTTTCAAAAACAGTCGGAAATATGGGCTCAAAAGAACGAGCAGATTAATTTACTTAAAAATTCGAAAATGACGATCCTTTCTAGGAAATACCACCTTTTCATTTTGGATAACATTATAGTTCTCCAGCTATAATTTTATATTTTTTGATAAGATTATAACCTTTTACTAGAGGAGCAATTTAATTATAAGGAGGGAAATTTGATATTGCTGATAGACTTTTCTATAGTATATAGGAGTCATATAGATCGGCTACTGAAGAGACTTTTGATGTAAGAGAACTTATTCCAGAATTTTTTTATATGCCGGAAATGTTCATAAATATAAACGGGGAAAATTTCGGTGAATGTTAAAGCAATAAAGGATTAATGGTTAATAATGTTTTACTTCCAGAATGGGCAAAAGGAAATCCCTATAATTTTGTCGTTATACATAAATAGGCCTTGGAATCAGAAATCGTATCTTCTTATATAAATAACTGGATAGATTTGGTTTTTGGATATAAATAATAAGGAAAAGAAGCGTAAAAAAATCTTAATGTTTTCCAATATTTAACTTATGAGGGTAGAGTTAATTTTGATTTAATTAAAGATACCAATTAAAAAATTTCTACAGAGGCATAAATTATTAACTTCGGGTAAACTCCAATATAATTAATTTGTGATAAACCCCATATATAAAGAATGCCAAAGGATTAAACTTTATAAGGGAAATGTATTACAGATATTCAAGCTAAAATTAAAGTTTTTAGGCCATCAATGAATAATAAAAGTGGGAAATAACAAGGAGCTAAACATGGTAAAATGATAAATATATTTTCTGATGAAATTTCTGATTTGACTGTGTTTTAATTATATTGGGTAAATGAATAGAAACTTATTTGTTGTAGAAAAAATGGTACAATTATTTAATATAGGTGGTATAGTGTGCCGATAAATTAAAATTAGTAAAATATTATTCCATTTTAATGCGGAGAAGATAAGTAAAGGGAAATAAGTTTTTATAAATAAAAAAATAGCTTTGTAAATTAAATTGATAAGTCCATTAACTATACTGTCTTTCCTATTTATTCATTTAAATAATATAAAGTTTTAAATTTTATTTATTTTTATTTATAATAATCTAATAAATTTTTTATAGATTATAGCTATCGGAGGTATTTGGGATGGTAAATTAAAAATATTACAAATTGATAGTGGTTAAGTTTAAGATACTTATAATATTCATAATGAAACTATTACATGTATTACTGCTGATAATAAAGAAAATTTTCTAATTACAGGTTTTATATTTATTTACGTTGGTGATAAAATTTTAATTTTATTAAAAAAAGGATCAAGAAATGGTGAAGTTATTGTATGGAAAATTACATTAGAATTAAAGTTAGTTGTAAAATACATAATAAATGATCATAAAGAAAAGGTATTATAAAGTGATTAATTATTTTTAATATAAAAAATAGGTTAATGTAATTAAAGTATCAAAAGATTTGAAAATATTTGCTACTTCATCAGATGATGGATAAATAAATATATATAATTTAATGAAAGGAGTATTTTATAGAAATATTTTTCATCCAATGGGATTACCTATTAATTATGTACTATTATATTTTTAATAGATTTTATTTAAATAATTTTTATTTTAGATAACATTATCATCAACTCCTTTGCCTTCAATATAATTTTTTTCAAATGAAGATAAAACATTATATTCATATAGCGTAAATGGATAATTATTAGCAAAAGTATAAGAAGATTTTAATTAAATTACTTCTGCCTGTATAGTAAGCGATTTTAATTTTAGTGAATTTATCATATATGGAAATGAAAAAGGCGAATTATATATTAGAGAATTACCATTTTTATAATTAATTAAAAACTATATAGTATCATAAGCTTCTCCTGTAATGTGTATATTATAATCAATTGATAAGAAATTTATTTTATGTGGGTGTGCAGATGGATAAATATCAGTTTTGACTGATCCTTCAGTTAATAAATTATATAAATAATGAAAAATTATATTAAATATATATGTTTTCATCTTATAATTTTTTATTTTTTTATAAAAAAATAAATAATTAGATAAATAAAAAAAGAAAATACACTAAAAACTATTATAAAATAAATTTTTAAAATAGAAAAAAATATATATAAAAGTATTTTTTTTTATATATAATTATTTAAATTTTTTTATTATATATATATAAATATATATTTTTAAATAAATAAATATATAATATATATATATATATATATTATATATATATATATTATTTTATTATTATTAAAACATTTATTCTTAATTTTACTTTATTTTTTTTTAATTTTTAAAATTATTATATATACTATATATAATATTTGGTATTTTTTTTTTTGTATTATATTTATCAATTTATAAAATTTATATATATATTTTTTTATTTAAAGAATAAGAAATTTATCCTTATTTTACAAAATACAAATAGAAAAGCATTTGTTAATTATAAAAATTATAATAGTTTATAAATTTAAAGCTATTTTTATATATTATCTTAATTTATATTCAAAAATTATATTATTAACTAATTAATAAATATATTATTTTTAATAATTTTAATATCTTTAATATTTTTTTTTTTATGTCCTTATAATTAATTTACTTTGCATAATTTTCTATGTTTAATATTCTAAAAACTTTAATTTTTACTTTTTACTTTTTATAATTTGTCTTATTTATATTATATTTTTTATGAAATATATATTATTAGTTAGGTATTATGTTTTAAGAATATTATAAAATTTTAATTTGAAACTGAAGGATTTATAATTTTATTTATTTTTATTTATATCTACTAATTTTAATTATATTTTTAAACTTATTATTATTTTTATAAATGGTTTTTAATTCTTTTATGATTTAATATACAATATACTATTTTTTTTTTATACAAATAAACTTATAATATAAATTATTTTAAATAATAACAATTCATATTTCATAAAATAAAATGTTTTTTAATAAAGGGAATATATTTTATTTTCGATTTTTTTCATTAAAATTTATTTATAATTTTTTCTGTATATTTTTTTTAATTTATAAGACTATAAAAATCACTTTTATTTTAAAGTTTTTTCAAAAAATGTGAAATCAATTTTTTTTTAAATATTCTCTATTAATTAAATATTTCAAAATCAACATTTTTTTTATTAAGAAATTGTTATGGATATCTTAAAGCCTCATCTGCCGCATCTATTTACTCAATTTACTATACTATATCTTCTTCCATTTATTATAATTCCATTTTACAGTCTATATTATAATCATTTTAATTATGATAAAAATTTTAACATTATTTTTTAAAAAAATCTAATTTATTATTATTTTATTTAATAACATCTTAATGATTTGAGTGATTAAAATTACATAAACCTTATTTTCTCCTATTAGTTTATTAAGAATTACATTTTTCAATATTATTTTAATATAAAGAATTATATCTTACTGTAAAACTATTATAAGGAGATTATTTATTTTTTAGTTTTTACTAAGTTATAAAAAAGTTATTTAATTAATTTTCATGTTGATTATTTTCATTATTTTCATTTATCTTTATCTTTATATGATAAGATTATGTTTTGTTAATCAACTTAGTTGATTATGATAATTTATTTTATACATTAATATGATCTTTATCGAAATAATTTTGACTTTGGTATAATTTTTTTTTATGTAAAAATTTATCTGGTGAACTAAATTTTGGTTTAACTATAAATTATTAAAAAAAAAAATTGAAATAAAAATAAACACTATTTTTTACTAATATCAGTTAAATTATTTTTTTATTAATCAGCAAATTCTTAAAATAATTTTGTTTATAACTGTTATTTTTTTTTTAACGAAACTATTTTAATATTTTTATTATTGAGATTACAATCAATATTTTATTCTTTAACTTTTTTATATATCTTAACTATATTCTATTAAGTTTACTATTCTTAGGCTTAGAAAAAATCTTCTAATTATTCTAAAGCTTTTAAACGTTAATTTTATTGTTTTAATTCCGTTTTTAATGCTTAATCATGTTTGTATTTAATTTTTTAATCGTCAATTTTAAGAACTTTACCTATAGTGTATTCTTTATGTTATTTACTATTGGATTTTATAATTTAATTAATATAATGTTCATCACGATCTTCATTTGTTTCACTTTTTTAAATATTTTATTAAATTTTATCTACATCAACGTTATATTAATTAATCATTTGTAACTTGCCTTCTAACTTTTTCAATTTGAAATTTCTAAATATCTTTGTCAATTCAGATTCTTCTATTGCAGCACTTAGGATAGCATTAAGTTTAGTATCTAAATCAATTTATTTATTATTTTTTCTTCGTTTAAAATTAGAAACTCGTCCAGATGTCTCAATAATAAAATCATCTTAATATTTCTACTTTTTAAGTTCTTTTTCGGCTTGAAAAAACATTTTGTCATTTAGTAAATCAATTTTTGTTATTTTTTAATTTTAATTAACTTCTCTTTCTTTGAAATTTTTTGATGTGATAGTTATCCCACTTTACATTTATTTTTTTGTCATTTTTTACCCTAAACGTTAACGGTTTTATGCTACCATTTTATGTATGTAAGCTAATACATTTTTACTTTATAATTAATTTGTATTTAGAACGTTATAATCTTTTCTTAAACTGTTTTTTTAAGCAGTTTTTTAAGTTAAAAAACCAACATAAGATAAATTATTTTTCATATCAATTACTTTTATATTAAGTAAAAATTTATTTAATATTTCCAAAAAAAAAAATCATATTAAATATTTTCTTTAAATTAACAAAAAAAAACATATATTTATTACTAAAAAAAAATATTTAATTAGAAAAACAAAACTAAAAATAAATCTAAATATTAAAGTTTTATATAAATAATTATCATCAAAATCAATTAAACTTGCATTTTGAAAAGTCCATTTCTGGATGTTATTTCATAAACTATGATAACATATCTTATTTTTTCATTTCATCTGAAGTAGGTTTACCAGCTTGTTTTTATCTCATATCAAACATCATTTTCTCCACAGTGGACCTTGTTTCTCCATCTAAATCAGATAATTTGGAACTTTCAGGGTTTATTTTTTTAGTATTAATTTTTGCATCTCCCTTTAATGCACAATCCCACCAATGCATTTAATTTTTCCATTTTTCAATACTTAAGTGCAAATATTTTCCTTTATAATCTTACACATCCCCATTTTCTAATGTCCATAAAGAATCTTCAGGATTTATATTTTCAGGGAAGTCCGCATCAATTAAAGGCACTTTATCAACAAGTACTTTCAAATGATTTAAAGTAAACTATACATTTACTTATTTAGCTTTTATGTTTTCGTTTACTGGAATATACATATGCATTTCATTTAAAGTTTGAGTCCATATATATTTGTCAGTTTTTCCTCCATTTTCTTTATAAATATATTTTAATTAAATATAAAATTAAAATAATTTTTATTAATATACCAATAGGAACAGGTGTATTATCGTCATCTTCTTCTTTATTTCCATCAGGTTAAGCTTAAGTGTCTTTTTAAACCGCAGGATTTTATTAAGCTAGTTATTATTAAATTTGTTATTACTAATCTTATGTCTATTAAGGTTATTATGTTTATTAAGGTTATTTTTGAGTTAATGGTTATTTTTATTCTTATTAGTTTTATGCTTTTCTTTGTTCTTCACGTTGCTTTTTTTCTATTTCTTTTTATTCTTTCTTTTTTATGTTTTCTAAATGTTAGACATATTGTTTTTTGCATTCTTCGGTAATTACTGCTTCTGCTCTTTTTATGTCTAAGTAAAAGTCAGTGTTTCTTCTTAAAAATCCGTATACAGATTCAAAAAATCCATCAATTTTTCCTTTTTACTAAAGAACAGTCATAAATAAATTATCGTATTTAGTATCTTCTTCTTACATTTTTTATAAATATTTTAATTATATAAAAATTAAATAATTTTTTTATAGATATACTAATTATAAATTATATAAATATATATTTTTAAAAAATAATTTTTTTGTTTTTTTTTAATTTAATTTAATTTAATTTCAAATTTATTAAGATAAAAATATTATATATTATTTATATATAATTTTTCTAGAAAAATAAAAAAAATAATATATTATAATATATTAATTTTATAATATAAAATAATAATATAATAAAATTTAAATTTAAATTAAAATTAAATAAATAATAATAATAATAATAATAATAATAATAATAATAATAATAATAATATTTATTATATTAATTATAATAATTATAATAATAATTTAATAATATAAATAATTTTAATAATATAAATAATTTTAATTTTTTTTTTTAATTATTGAATATGTTAAAATCTAATATATACGATTTTTTTAATATATTTTTGTTAAAATTCTTGAATGATATATAAAATTCTATCTTTTTAATTTATTTAAAAAATTAAATTTCTTTTTAATAACTATATAAATTTAATTACTTAATTTAGTATTAAAATTTTTTTTTAATATGATTTAAATGAATATTAAAAAAATAACAAAGTATGAAATTTTATTGTTTCTAATATTTATATTAATTTTAAATAAATAATTCATTAAAATTTATATCTATTTAATAATAATTAGAAGAAACAAAATATTATTAAATTATTCAAATTAAATAAATAAAAAAAACAATCGAGTTACTCTATTTTTAAAGCTAAAAATAAAAATGTTATTTTCAAATAAATTATTTATAATATAATTCAAATAATCTTACAAAATTATTTTGAGAAAAAAACTAGAATAAGTAATTTAATTAAGGTTAAAATTGAAAATAATTTATGATATAATAATTATATATGCCTTAATAATATTTTTTAAATAAAATTAAAAGTAAATATTTGTAAAGATTTTCTAATATTTATAGAAGTAATAAAAATTATTAAGATTAATATTTGATAAATTTTTTAAAAATATATATTGAGTATATTATTTTTAAATAAATTAAAAATAATATTTTAATAAATATTTCAAACATATATGAATACGATTTCAATAATATACATATTATTTTTAATAATTTATATATTTAATATAATTTTTAAAATAATGATAAAAATAAAATTTTTTACTTAATAAATGTGTTATTTTATATTTTAATAATTTTATAAGTAATTAAATATTTTATAGATTTATTAATTGTGTTATAAAAATTGATTAGTTTAAATATAATATTATATTATGCAGTTTAATTTAAATTAAGACATTTATATATTAGGCTAAAAATAATGAATTAAAATAAATATGAAAATATAGAAAACCTATAGTATTTTAACATTGAGCAATATAAAAGATAAAAACTAATAGCATTTTCAAACTCTTTAGTATATAAATTAGAAAAAGAAGATTGTCAAGAATAAAAGTATGAAGAACTATTAGAAGACATAAAAAATGATTAAAAAATCGCTGCAAAATAATTTTAAATTAAAACAGAAAATGAATATAATTAGATTTGTTAAAAACTTAATAATTTGACAATTTTTTTACATAATACACATCCCAATATAATAAAGATTATGGGTTTTTGCTAAGAAAAAAAAAAATAAACAAAATACAATTCATAAATATATATAATAATGGAATTATGCTAATTTGATTTAGAAACAAATGTATAAACTTAAAAAAATGATAAAGCAAGTTTTACATGCAGCTAAATTAAAAAATTCTTTACACAAACTGTTTTAGCCCTTGAATATATGCAAAAAGAATTGGATGTATCGCATAGAGATATAAAACTGGCAAATATATTAATAGATTTTGAAAATAATTATAAATTAGCAGATTTAGATAATATAAAAATTGGTGAGAATAATAAAAGTTGTAATAAATAAGTTTTTTTAGGAACTTTGGAATTTTCTGCTCCAGAAATATTAAAAGCTTATATAAAATAAGAAACTAATTTAATTTATAATGAATATAAAGCAGATGTATTTAGCCTTGGTTTGTGTTTACTTTATATCTGCACTTTTGAAAAATTTAGTTTATAAGAAAGATTTAACTCTGTTTCAAATAAATAAGGAAAATAAATATGGGATAAAAAGATAAAGGATTTAAGATAAAATATAAAAAACAAATATGAAGACTTTGGGAAAATAATAAGTAAATTTATCAAAGCAATGCTCGAAAAAGACTAATTTTAAAGACCAGATTTTATTCAGCTTAAAATAAGGGCAATCGAAAAACATATTATTTCTGAAGAAAATTAAACTTTTTATGCAAATAAAAATCTTTTGTAATAAAAAAAGACTATAATAGATTATTAAAATTAAACTTTAAAAAATTCGTTCAATAATAATTTTGGAAAATAATAAGTTGGTTAATCTAGTTTATAAAAAAGTCCTTATATTAATTAATTTAAATCTATATATAATTCCTATAGTAGAACTTAATCTAACTTTACTTTAAATAATTAAAGGAAATTATCTCTATAAGGACAGATAGAGAGAAAAGATACAATTAGTTTTAGCTAAATTTAAAGATTCAAAGAAAAATAAATAAAAAATGCATTATAATAAAAATATACATAATATTATTTTTAATAAGATTAAGAAGAAGAATAGAAATATGAAGAAGGTATAAATAATTGTGATCTAGAAGAAAGTTTAATCAAAATAAAGTAAAAGAAATGTTTTTGTTTTAAAAATACAAAAAGTAATAATGATGATGAAGAAAATAAAAATAAAAAAAACTAATAGAAAATTCTATTTTTTTTAATTATTATTTTTACTTTTATTAGCATTATTTTAGGCTGCGTTTATTTTTTTTTGTTTAATTATAATAGCATATCAAGTGTGTATAATGAAGAAAATTTAAATGATTAAAATATAAGATAATATATATAAATTTGTAGTAAAAATAACGCATTATATTATAACGGAAAATGCGTTAATAAATGCCCTTCATAATTTTATCCTGATTATCAATAAAATATTTGTTTTTAATGTCATAGAAATTGCTTAGAATGCGCTGAATTTGGAAAAGATAAATGCAATTCTTGTACGAAAAACTAATATTTAGTTATATTTGATGATATTAATTAAATAGGATTTTGTAAAAGAGAATGTCCACAATTTTATATAGCTAATTAATAAACTATGAAATGTTTTAAATGTCAAAACTAATATACTTAATGAAAGGAATAATATCTATTTTTAACGAAAGTTTTGATGGCTTAATATCAAAATATAATTAATGTATTTGAAAATAAAAAAATTAATAAACTAAAATTAGTTTATCATATGTCAAATGTTTTTATTTCAAAAAAAATAAAATAAAGAATTTAAATAATAAGTTTGTATGAATAAAACAACAAATAATTCTAATAACTAAAAAAAATATTTTAATATTAATTTATTTATTTTAAAAATAAAAAATTATAAAAATATAAAAATATGAACAAATGAACATATATTAATCATAAATAAGTGACGATTTATAAAAAAAAGTAAATCAAAATTTAATTATGTCAAACTCCTTTAGTAATTTATAGAAATTCCTTTAATAAAATTATCTATCAATTCAAAATAATTCTAATATATCATGTATTAAAACAAAAAAAACTAATTAGAATTAAAAATTAATAAAAGTTCATAATTTTATATATTAAAATAATAAAAAAAATATTATAATCCGTTTCAATCCCTTCAGATTTAATAATGCTCGAAAACGACAAAAAATCTTAAAAAGTAAACGCATAAAATAATTAAAAATCATAATATTGTCCTTGCTGTAATCTGTAAACAAATAAAATTTACATTTAAATTGTAATGAAAAATAAATTTAATTTTTAGGATTAGCATATCCTCTTTTATTTTTACTGAGCAAATATTTTTCTCAAATAATAATTATGATGCTTATGGCAGAAAAATCTTTTTGATTATATATTCACAATTAATTTTATAGTTACGCTTTTTTTGTATTATTATATTAAACTTGGAATTTTTAAAAACTCATTTTATAAAGATAAATGTAGCTTAATTTATTAATAGCCTTTTGGAGTACTTGTATACAAAAATAAGGCAAATAAATATATTTTTTAATTCAATTATTAGGTAATATTGCCCAATTAATTACACTATTATAGTACAAAACTTATCTAATGGCACTATCCCTAAATAAATTGAATATTTTATTTCAAGACCTAATTTATTAAAGAATATTTTGAATAATTATTATTTATTAATTAAAATATTATGATAACAGTTTTAATGAATTAATAAATAATATAAGTAAATTTAACAACTTAATGTTTTTAAAAAAAAGCATTTAAAATATTAAATTAACTTAAAATGAACTAAATATAAAATCAAATGCAAAAATTATTAAAAGAAAGAGCATAGCTAGACTAATTTTCATACATTTTTAGTTACATTTGAATAAAATTATTTTTTGTTTTTATATAATATTATTTAGACGCTTTCTTAACCAGAAATTTATATTTAGTGGCTTGGTATTACTAAATTGCTCCATTTGGAATTCTTATTTAGCTTTTTTGGATTAATTTTAAATTACTATTTGTATAAATATACTTTTCTGAGAGATAATAATATTGTACTTCTTAAGTTTTATCAGAAGAAATTTTCAAGAAAATTTGAATAGTTTAGAACTTCTATCCTTTGTTTATTTATGAAGTTTTATGTAGAATATAATTAATGATTTTAGTATAAATAACTATTAATAAGTTTCTTAACTATAAATTTTGCTTCCTATTGGATTAGTTTCGGCACTTTTCAGGCATATGGTATAATATATAAAAGAGGATAAAAGTATAAAAATTAGTAAAACTTTTTCAATTATTCAGATATTAAAATTAAGTTTACACATGAATATGATATATATAATCGTGTGAATTAAATAAAAGCAAATAATTTATAAATTTAAAATTTAAGGAATTTAAAATAATATATAATAATCTTATAATTTTTTAGATATTAAAGTATTACAGATAATTAAAATATACAAAATAAAATTATTTTTATAACAAAAAATTTATCTTGATAATTAATATAGTGAAAACTTTGATCATTAAAATAATATAGAAACGGATAATATTGACTAAAATTTTAATTGAAATTATACTTTTTATATTTTTATTAGTAATAAGAAATTAATTGAATATATTAAATAAAATATAAGTATTCAATATTATTTTTTTTGATTTAAAAAATATTTGAATCTTTTAGTTTTTGCTTGTATAAACCTTAAAAAAAATAAAAAATTATAAAATATACCGTATAATATAGATTATATTTTTCAAAAATTAAATAAAAAAAATAATAAATAGTTAATAAAAAAATATATTATTTTTATTTATATCATTATAAAATCAAATATATTTGTTTTAGGAAAAAAATAAATAATTTATATATTTATATTTCAAATATTCATTATATAAAACTAAAAAAAACAAAAATGCTACAAAGACTTGAAGAATCTGAATTTGATGATGAATATAAGGGATTTATTCCTTCATAAGGAGAAATAGTTTACATAGGCGCCAAAAATAGGGAATGTGGTTATTATTTGACAGGTATAAATTAATGCAGAAGAAGAATGATTAAAGAAGCCGGAAGTAATGATAGTGATAATTATGCTATGGCTTTTTTACCATGCAAAAGATTAGTTGATGCCCATTATAGATGCATGACTAATTACAGTCATGGAAACACACTCGAAGAAGTACCTGAAGTAGCCTAATAAAGCGCATAAAAATTTTTAAATTGTACTTTTAACTAACTTAATAGTATGCTTTAATGTAGAAGAGATTTCGATTCTATAGTAAGAGATATCTACAGAGCTGGGAATCATAATCTTAATTTCAAATGAAGAAAATATATAAGCAAAAGAATCTAATAAAAAAATAATAGAAATATATTATTTTTTTAGAAAAAAAAAATGTTATATTATTTTTTTATTTATTTTTTAGATCAAAAGTTAATGTTTTTTTTAAAATAAAGCAAATAATTATTTTAAATAGATGAAAAAAAATTTTGTTTTGATTATAAATATTTTATAATAAAAAAAATAAACTTTTCACAATTTTATGCGTTCGTATATATTCGTATATAATACAATTAAAATAATATTATTTTAAAAATAACATGTATTTTAAAAATTCAATAAAATAAACGAAGATAAAAGAATACCTATAATTAAGTATCAAATATACAAATTAATACAATAGAGTTATTATTATTATTTTTTTTTATTTTTTTAACTTATATTATAAATTAATTTTTAAAAAAATAATATATATTTTTTTAATAAATCTTTTAGTATTTTTGGAATATAATTGTCATTAAAAAAATATCTAAAATATTAAAAAAAATATATTTATCAAAAAACTTAATATTTATTAATTTATTAAGCTATTTTGTTAGTTCTATCAATAATTCTTTAAGGTAAAAGCTAACTATCGAAAAAATTAACTTTATCATCATTTAAATTTTAAATAATTCTTCTACAACCAAAACATAAAATAAGATTCCTAATATCTGTTTTAGCAATTTTTTCGCTTTCAAAGTATTTTTTCTTAAGGCATTCTTCTGTATTATCTTCATTGTTTTCTCCTCCATAAATCAAACCTAAACTACTATCAAAAGTTTCTATTTCTAATATATTCTTAATTTAATCCCTAAACTAAAAGCACAGAGGACATCTTTATAAAATTCCTTCTTTTGGAGTAAACTTCTTAATAATTTTTTCACTTGTATGTAATATAGTATGAGTCTATTTATTTATATATTAATAAACAAAAAAATTAATAATATTACCGTAGAGCAGAAATTTTCTTAAATATTATCAATAAAATTCTCCATTATAAAATCTATATTCCCAAACCCAGGCAATTTAGAATTTTATTTATTATTTTCACAAATATAATAAGGTCTATCAACTAAAAAGCCTAGCAAATCATTTAAATGTAAATAATTCAGGACTTCTTTATTCAAAAAGTCTTTTAAAGGCCTTCCAATACCAATTTTATTCTAAAATTCACTTTCTGATCCAAAAAAATTTTTCATTTATTCATATTCGACCCAATCAATAAATTAGATTTCATTATCTGCTGAACCTCCCCTTCCTTTAGAAAACAAAGAAAAAATTTTACTTGCTAACCTCTACCCACAACTTCCTAAGAAAATTCTATTAAAATTATTCTTATAAGCATATTCTATATAAAGCTAAGTTTTAATAAACTAAACAATATCTTCTTAACAAGAAGCCACATTTTTAAATAAGTTTAAAAATTTTATCAATTTTTAGTCAAATAATGTTCTCTATTCTTCGTTTATAAGAGGGATTTTTTCAAACAGATCATTATAAATATCTGATAAATGCAAAACATTCAATTTAAGCTAACATTTTTTTGCTAACTCTTCTATTTTTTATAAATTAGATTATTTATATTTATTTTCATATAAAACGGATTCATCTATATATATTAATTCTGCTTTAAAAAACATTTTCCTACCTTAACTATTATATATAGTATTTCCTACTAAATGCGTTAAAGTAGTACTATTAGCACCTCCACTTATACAAACTAAACAATTTTCGTTTTTTATAATATTAAGTTTTAACCTTAAAGTAAGCTTTTTATATATAGTTTTTTTATATATTTATACATTTTTTTTACTTTGAATTTATGATCTAATGTGCTTTAAATACATTATTTACACATAAATTCTTATCTATATCTATATTAAGATTTTTCTGTTTTACATTTTGAACATAAAGTTTTTGGGTTTATTTATGATTTTTTTTCTTCTGCTTCTTAATTGCTTTACTAAAATTTTACTTGATCTTTATTTTCGCTTAAACATTATTATTTATCACATGAATTATTGCATTTGCTTTATTTATCTTTTTATTATTGCTTGCTATTTTTTATTTTATTGTTAAGATTATCTGTATTTCCACATGCAGGTAAATCAAGGAAGTCGTCATCTTCGGAATTCAACTTGGGAATTTATTATTAGTTATCCATTATTTAAATTTAATATATGTATTGTTTTAATATTATTCTAATTTAACTTAATAATTTTTTGTTTTTTATATTATAAATATAAATATTTATTAATTATACCAAAATTAATAAAGGTATAAATATATTGTATTTTCAAATTAAAATTCTTTAAAATTAATAAAAAAATATGTAATTATGATATTAATATAGACTATATTATTAAAGTATACACTTTTTAGAATCTATAAAAATTTTGGTAAATTTTTTAAATAATTTTATTATTTATTGGAAAAATTTCATTTAATTAAAGTAAAGTTTAATCAAATTAAAAATAAATTTGAGTATGATATATTTTTTTTTAAAAAAAGTAAAATTATTGTTTAAAGAGAAATCAAATAAAATTTTAGTAATTAAAAATTTAATTTTATACGAAAATATAATATAAATAATATATATATATATAATATATAATATTTAAAAAATATTATAATTATGATTATTATTTAGTATTCAAAAATTTTAAATTTATAGAATATAACTTCAATTTAACTAAATATATAGTTTAAAATATTTTTCTATACCTAATATTAGTATCTTTAATATTTGATTAATATAAACAATTTGATATAACAAGTTAGATTATATTTATTAGTACATTATATTTTAAAAAATTTATAAAAAATATATATTATACTAAAGTTATATTATAATAATAAAGTTAATACTTTAGGGTTAGTAATAAAATATATTAAGAATTTAAATATATAAATTTAACAGAATTTTTATTTCTTCAAATAAATCATTTTATAATAAACTTGATTAAAAAAAAAAATCAGAGATAATTATTATACATTTTTATAAAAAAAAAAAAAAAACTAAATAAAAAAAAATTAAAGAGAAATAAGAAAAGTGAAATTACATAAAAAAAATCAGATTAAAAGAATTAAAAAATAAAATAAAATGAATGAAGAAATAGAATCTCATATTTTAAGGAAATTTGAAATATTACAGAAAATTGGTAAAGGAGCATACGGTATCGTATGGAAAGCAATTGATAAAAAAATAAAATAAACAGTAGCTTTAAAAAAAGTTTTTGATGCATTTCACAATCCAACAGATGCACAAAGGACTTTTAGAGAAGTAAAAAAATAAAATAAAAAATATAAATATATAATATATAATATTTTTATACATTTTTTTTTCAAAATAATAATAAAAGGTTATGTTTTTACAAGAATTAAATGGACATGATAACATAATAAAATTATTGAATATATTAAAAGCAGAAAATAATAAAGATTTATATTTAGTATTTGATTTTATGGAGACAGATTTACATGCCGTAATTAGGGCAAATATTCTAGAAGAAATCCATAAAAAATACATCATGTATTAAATTCTTAAAGCTTTAAAATATATACATTCTGGAGAACTAATACATAGAGATTTGAAACCTTCTAATATCCTTTTAAGTAGTGATTGTCATATAAAAATAGCCGATTTCGGACTCGCACGTTCCATAGCAATAAAAGATGAAGAAAAATATCCTGTTTTAACCGAATATATAGCCACAAGATGGTATAGAGCACCTGAAATTCTATTAGGGAGTAGCAAATATTCCAAAGAAGTTGATATGTGGAGCGTAGGATGCATTTTGGGTGAATTATTTATTGGAAAATCAATATTTCCAGGAGCTAGCACTCACAATTAGATTGAAAGAATATTAGAATTAACAGGGATGCCTTCTTAAGAAGATATAAAAAGCATGTAAAGTGAAGTTGCATCGAGTATATTAAATTCCATTAATATTGGAAAAAAGAAAAGTTTTGAGTAGTTTTTTCATGGAACATGTAGTTAAGCAATGGATTTGTTAAAAAAAATGCTCATTTTCAACCCAAATTTAAGAATAACAGCTGAATAGGCATTAGAACATCCTTTTGTGGCAGAATTTCATAATCAGGAAGAGGAGTTTGTATGTAATAAACCTATTGAAATTCCAATTAATGATCATGAAAAATATTCAATTAAAAAATATAGAGAAACCCTTTATAATGATATAAATTAAAGAAAAAAAGAATAAAGAAAAAAATGGTAAGAAAAGTATTTTTAATAATTGGGTGTAGAAAATTAAAAATATGAATGTCATTTATTAAAATAGTAGAATATTTGCAATGATTAAAAAATGTAAATGATTTAATAATAAGAAAATTAAAAAAATAAATAATAAAAAGCGCTTGAATTTCAAAAATATACTTAATAAATTTAAAAAAACCAAAGGAAAAATGCAATTTATACATAAAGTATTGTTTAATAATAATAAATATAGTAATAGCAATAATAATAATAATAATAATAATAAAAATAATAATAATAATAATAATAATAATAATAATAATATCAATAATAATAGTAATAATAATAATATTATTATTAAAATAAATTTAATGTTAATAACAGTAAAAAATTAATACTAATGTTATTAATAATTAAATTAGCAATAGCAAGCATAATAAATTTAAATTTAATAATAATAAAATAGTTTACCCAAATAGTAAAGTTTTATACAATAAAGTTCTAAATAATTTCCATAATTATACTAAAAATAATAATCTCTATCACCAAACCATAATTTTTTTTAATAATAAAAATCTTAAAGTACAATACAAATTAATTAATAATAACCAAAAATATATTAATAATAAAATATATTTAAACATAATCTAGTTTAAAAAAAAAATTACTTTTTATAATAATTATGTAAGTGATATTCCATCATTCAATAAATAATAATTAAAATAAATGCAAAACTTTAATAATGATTCTAATAAATATCAATAAAACGAAATATAGAATCAGTAATTTAATAATTATTCAAATTATCAAATTTCGCCTAAATTGTAATAATAAATAATAAAATAAAAAAATAATATAATACCGAAGTTTAATAAAGTATCATGAAAATCAGATATAGGCATATTTGTTATTTTACATAAGAATTAATGTATTAAAATATTTATTATCTCCTTTTTTTTTTTTTTGATTTGTTTATTTTTTATAAATATTAATTTATCAGTTATTATTTTTTAAATATTTCTTATAAAAAATTTTTAATTAAATGTTAGTAAGTAAATTTTTTATATATTTTTTATAAATAAAATATATATTATTTATATATCTTCAAAATAATAGTTACATAAAATTTAATAACAAATATAAAAACTTAATAAATCTTATTATAAATATTATATAAAAAAAATAAAATTAAAAATATCAAATATTTAATTGAATTGATGTATAAAAATTAAATACATAGAATAAATATATATAAAAAAATTCATAAATATATATATATATAATATATTTATATATATTATTCAAAAAATTACAAATTTTATATTTCATTAAGTATAATTTTAATATATTTATTGTTATTTCATTAATTCCTTTTTTATTAAATTTTCAATAATTACAATCTTATTATTTATCAAATATAAGATTTTACTTTAAATTTTTTTTTACATTTTATTTAATTAAATCATTTTGGAAAAAATCCAAATTAGAATATTCCACATTCTTACTATTAGCATAACTAGTATTAAGTAAAGATAACTTATATTTAGTATCATAATTAATAGTAGGAGAAAGAAAATTCAAAAACTTTTTATGGCTTTATTAATTTTCAGTTTTTATTTTGTAAGGCAGGTATTCAAGAACAAAAGCAGGAGCTTCTTTTATTTATTTCCAATTTTTTTCATTATCAAATTTGATTGTTTTATAATTTTAGCTTTTATCTTCATCATTTTCATATTATTCATATTAAAAGTCAATACCTTTTATATATATTTTTTAAGCAATTTCTTAAAGATGTTATTATTTTTATAAATAACTATTTTAATAAGTATTATGATTTTACTTTTCAGAAACATCCATTTCAAGGTAATAGTTTTATTGTCAATAATTGTATTCAAATTGTTCTAACTTTATATTTATTAGTTGTTTAATATAGGCTAGTCTTTTGAAAAGAACTAAAGTGTAGTGTTATGTATTATTTTTTCTTTATTTTTAGGTGCATATTAATTTTATTCTACATTTTTTTAATGAAGTGATTCAATTTTATCAACTATTTTTTGCTAATATCTGAGTATTTTAAAAAATGAATCATCTTCAACGTTATTTTTAGTGTCAGATTATACATTATTTATAGAAATCATATTATTAATTTATTTTAAATAATTTATTTAATTATTTTTATATTATATTTGTTTATGTATTTATATACAAGTTTAATTAATAAATTAAAATAAGATTTTATTATTTTTTTATTAATTATATTAAAAAATTTACTAGATGATTTTTTTTTTAAAAAAAAAAAATTCTTTAGCATATTAAATATAAAAAATAAATAATGCCTAATATATTCATAAATAAAATATAATAAATTTATAAAATAACGAAAAATTATTAAAATATATAAACTATTTTTCAAAAATATAATTAAAATATTATATTTTAACGAAAAAATTATTTATAATAAATAAATAAAAATATTGATTAATTTTTTATACATATATAAATTTTTTGTTCTAATAAAATATAAAATATAACAATAAGATAGAAAATAATTAAAAATAAATATATATGAGATAAAAAATAATAAATTATCATTAAATAACATTTTATTTGCAAATAACGCAAGTTATTTTATCCTAAAGCCATTTATCAATACAATTCTTATGAAATTAATGAAAACAAGGTAATATTCTTAGAGTTTCTCCCTCTTTATATTATGATATACATACTGAACAATTATTTTATGAAGTAAATTAATTTTTATTATGATTTTTATTTCTAATTTATTTTTTAGTATATACAATACAAGGAATGGAATTAATTTCTTATTTAGTTAATCCTTTTTATTAAGATTAATCATTTTCATATTCATCAATTTAGCTATCTTAATCATTTTCTTCATATTCTTCATCCTAATCATTTTCACTCTCTTCATATTCTTCATTAAAATCTTCATCTTCCTAATTTTCATAATAGTTATTGTGTTAATTATTATTTATATTATTTGAATTATTATGTTGTTAATTTTATTAATTATTAAAATTTTAATATTAGTAGAAATTCTAATTTTATTAATTATTATTTTGTTAAAAATTATTTTAAAACATATTTTAGGGATTAAATTAATTAAAAAATGGTTAATTAAATGGATTAAAATTATTATTTGAATAAAAATTAGTAAAGGTATTTGTATTTGTATAAAAATTAAAATTAGAATTACTATTAGAATTTGTATTATAATTAATATTAGAATTAGTATTAGAATTAGCTCTATATTATGCATTTTTGCCTACTTTTTGATTATTTGCTGTTATTCCATTACTATTCATTTAAATTACTTAATTTCCATTGCTTACTACTATTCCATTATGATCCATTTATACTTGAATTCCATTACAATTATAAAACATATTTTATATTTCTTATTATATTTTTTTTTTTTTTTTTTTTTTTTTTTTAATTAATTTAATATTATTTCTATTCTTTTTTTTTCCGTCCTAATTAATTTGTTTTTTATTATTTATATTTTTATTAATATTAGCATTATTCATAGAAGAAATAAAAAAAACAGAAGAAATATATATAATATTTATTATATATGATATTTAAAGATAATATTTTAAAGATTTAATCATATTTTTTAAATTTAAAATGTTGGAATAATTTTAAATTATTTTCAAAAAAAAAAAAAACAAATTAAAAAAGGCTATATATAAATATTAATTATATATATATATTTTTTTTTAAAAAAAATATTTGAAAGGAAAAATATAAATATTATCTATTAACCTCAAATATATTAACTTTTTTAAAAATATTTGAGTATAAACCGAATAAAAATATTTATATTTCATTTTAAAAAATATAAAAATAAAAGAAATGGAAAGTATTAAAAATACAAAAATATGCATAAAAATATATAAATAATAATAGAATATTATAATTTTAATATAATAAAAAATTTATATTAAACGGGTTAAATTCAATAATCCTTTTGACAAAACAAAATTTACATGAAAATTAATTAAATGAAATAAAAAAAACATAAAGAATCAAAGATATATAATTTATATAATAAGGTTTCTATATGTTAATATTAATATTTAAATATTTTATCTTTTGTTAAATTTAAAAGTTATTTTTATTATTTTATTTAAATAATAATTATATATTATTTTGATTATATTAATATATTTAACATTTTTTCTATTTATAAAAATTTTAAAAATTAATTTATTTTACATAATTATTTTTTATATAACTCTTTATTAAATTATACAATAAATATATATAATTCATAAATTGATTTTATAAATATTTTTTATTTATTTATTAAGTGTTAATGTATATAATGATAGTCAAAGAGATATTAAATTTTATCATTGAATTATGTATATATATACTTTAAAATATTTTTAATTACATTATATATAAAATAATTTAATGAAGTCAAATTAAAAAAAAATATTTAAATTATATAAGAATAAAAACAACTTTTATATATAAAAAATAAAAAAATGTATATATTTACCATAAATATTAAAAACTTTATAGGAAAATATATTTGTGTCATACTATATATATTTTATATAATTATAAACTTACTTTACTTATTTTTAATGTTTACTTTAATATATTGATATTTTTGTTAGTTAATATTAGAAATAATTATAAAATAAAATATCTTTTAAATTTTGAATTTTTTTTATTTATATTATAATAATTAAAATATTTAAATTCTTAAATTAAATTTTATTATTAATATATAATTTTTTATATAAAAATTTAATAATAATTTTTTTTTTCTCTAAAAATAAAAAAAATAAAAAAAATAATAATATTATATATCTCTACATAATTATATAATAGAAATATAAATAAGAATAGTTATTTAAATTAATTAAATATTTTAAATATTTTGAATTTTTTTCAGTTTTTCTAAAATAAAAAAAGAACATTATTAATAATAAAAAATATAAAAATCAATACAAAAAACTAAATAAAATAAAATTGAATCAAGGAGCAAGTCTTTTAGGATCTCTTGGAAACATACACCCGTTTCTAATATCATATAAATCACAATACAAGAACAAAACCCTTTCAAGTCCAATACCACATCCACCATGAGGATAAGCTCCATAAGCCATAGAATCAATGTATTCTTTAATAGTATCAACATTAATTCCACATTCCTAAGCTCTTATAGCAAGTGAAGCTGGGTCGTGATTTCTTTAAGCCCCTGATGTAATTTCCTAACCTCTCATAAAGAAATCATATGACAAAGTAAATCTAGGGTCATCATGGCAAAGCATAGTATAGAATGGTCTAGCAGATACTGGATACCTATGCATCATGTAAAAATCAGTATCATATTTCTCCCTAACTATCAACCCAAGTTTTTTTTCTACATCAGTATCCAAGTCTTCATGAACACTTTGTTCAATTCCGGCTTCCTTCAATAATTTACAACCTTCTTCAAATGTAAGTTTAACTATTGGAGTTTTAATTTTGAAAGGCTCGAAAGGGAATTAGCTATTAATGGCTTCCAATTCTTTCTTATATCTTTACTCTATTCCTTAGAAAATAAAAATAAAAAGTTCAGCAAAAAGGTCCAATAATTCATGATAATTTTCTTTTATAGTCATTTCAATATCCAAGCCTGTGAACTCGCACATATGTCTATGGGTGAAACTATTTTCAGCTCTAAAAACAGGTCCAATTTCAAAAACTCTTTCAAAATCACTTTGAATACACATTTATTTGTATAATTAAGGAGATTGAGCCAAGCAGGCATCTTATTTAAAATATTTTAATTTGAAAACATTTGAACCACCTTCAGAAGTTCCTCCAATCAATTTCGGAGTGTGAATTTCAACAAAATCTTAAGAGATTAAATATTCTCTAAAAAGTTAACATATTCCTGACTAAAGTCTAAAAATAGCTTATTTTGCAGGTGTTCTTAAATCAATAATACGATTATCTAATCTAGTTTTCATATTTACAACCACGGATTTGTTCTCCTTCTATTCTTCTTCCTATTATTATTTTTCTTGCTTTTATTCTTATTATTATTCTTAATTTTATTGATATTCTTTAAGTTAGTCTTCCTTCTTCATTTATCTAGAAGCATCTTCCAATTAAAAAGGAAGAACTGCTTTAGAGCGACTTACCAAGTAAATTTTTTCAATTTAAAGTTCAACCTTTTAAGTAGTACTCTTAATTTCAACTTCTGGTTAACTTACTTTAGCATATACATCAACTAAAGATTCGCAAGGGACTTTTCCAATCCATTTAAGCATTGTTTTAGATACTTAATCTGTCTTCTAAGCCATGGCTTATATTGTGAAAAACTATTCTCTTAAAACTAAAAAACCAACATTTCCTTTTACTCTAGAAGTGTGAATACGAGAACGGATTAATACTGTCTATCCGACAAGTTTTTCGTCAATATCTTTTACCTAGTTTTTATTTAATAATTTTTATATAATATTTTTTATTATTTAATATTTTATTTTATTACTTTTGTCCATTTACGGTTAGTCTTATCTTAACTTTATACTATTGGGTAGTCTCCATATAAATTTTTTGATGTGTCTTCTTGAAGCTCTTTTTACCATTTTTCTTCTTATTCTTTTAATAAGGCGGCTTCTTTTTCTAAACGCTTTCTTTCCTTTTCTTGTTCCTTTTCTAATTTCTTGGGATTTCTTTGTTATTATTAGACAGTCTTTTAGGCATCTTCTTAAAGTTATTATTATTATTATTAGTCTGACATTTTATATGTAGAGGAAAATTAACAAGTTTTGATATTTATTGTTTTATATAGTAATATTTTATAATTATTATATTCTTTAAAATATATCTTTATATATTTTTATATATAATTTAATTATTTTTTTTATATAATAAACATTTTTTTAATTTATAAATTATTATTTCTTTTAGATTTTCTATTTCAAAATAAATATATTTTTTAATTTTTTTATTTAAATTTTTAATTTAAAATTATTATTATATAAAAATTAAATTATAATTAAAATATATTTCAAAATCATGAAAAAAAAATATTTAACAAACATTTTAGATTGCGTATTTAATATATATATATATATATATATATATATATATATATATTTTTATATATATATTTCATATCAACTAAAGAATAAACCTTTTTTAATTTATTAAATATTAATAAATTTTATTTAAAATAAATCCATTATATAAAAAGTAACTTATTTATAAAATAAATAATTTTTAATCTTTTAAACTTTAAAATTCTTCTAAAATTATATTCAAAAAAAAAATTAATGAATTTATTTCTAATTTTTAACAGTTTTGAATTATTAATTTAATTTTCATTTTAAATAAACAAAAATATTATTAATTATAAAATATATTTACTATTTCTTAAACAATTTTTTATTTACAAATAGCCAAAGTTTTTTTTTTATATATATATTTATGTTATAAACATATAGCCAACACTAGTAATATCATTAATAGTAAATTGCTAATTTTTGTTAATTTATTAAATTAGTAATATAATAGATAAGCTCTAATTATTTTTATTAAAATATGAAATAAACTAATTATCAATAAACAAAAATTTAGAGTATTTTTAAATAGTTAAGTTTGAATATAAATAAAAAAAGATAATTTATACAAAACAAAAATATTTTCAATCCGTATATTTTTTAATTTTTTTAGTTATAATACTCTATTAATCCCATATTTCCTCTTATTTAGTTTTCATTTTAATATTATTAACTACATTATTTTAATCTGTAAAATTACAATTATTTTCTTTTCCATAAACTTAACTCTCTATTTAAAACTCATACTTTAGATTTTATTGTATTATCTACTAATCTTTACTATAAGCTTTTTTAAAATTTTCAGTTTAATATGAAGGCGAAGAAATTTCATTTAAATTAACAAATGAAAAATTTTCTCCCTAAAAAGAAGATTTAATAACGGTATTTTCATTTTAAATATATTATTTACTATTTATTTTTTTGTTCGTTTTCCTATCTTTCTGTTAATTTTTCCCTTTCCTCAAAATTTCAGCCAACTAAGGTGTCAATTAAAAAATTTAAAAAACTTTTTTATGGACATTAATATTTTATTTCTAGCATATAATACTATTAGTATTGTTTAATAGGTTTTTCCATCTTCTCAAAACTTAATTATCAGTTTTACTTTAAAACATCCTACTTATATTAGCCCATTAACCTTTCATTTAAAGTGCCAATTTTAATAACATTTAATCTTCTTTATTATTCCATTAAGTAAGTTTTAATTCAGGATCCAATAAGTTACACCACCTTTCCCTTATTTGTACTTAAGATCTATTTTAGAAAAACTTCGAAATAAGACACCATCTATTACTTGCATTTTGTTTATTATAAAATTCTTATAAAATTGCCAGCTTAATATCTTCTTCTAATTTCCATCTACCTTTAGAAATACAAGGATTTAAACTTTTCCATCTATAAATTATTTCGGCTCTATTTCTTCCATTTAAGCATATATTGATTTGCTGCCATGATTTTTCTCCATATATTTAAACTGCATTTTTTAACAAAAAATCTTCTTCAGTATTCCAATCTGAATTAAGTTTATCATTTTTTTTTCCAATTTAATTCATTCTAATTCTACATTAAAATTAAAAAATAGATAAAGCGTCTATATTTTCTAATTTTTATAAACAATTTTATTATTATTATTAAATTCCTTTGTTTATAAGAGCAGTAAGTTAAAATATATCTATAGAATAATAAAGTTCCTTTTTCTAAAAAATTATTGTGAGTAGTTAATTTAAAAAGAAATCTTGACTTTCCATACTCTTATACTTATTTAAATATTAATGTTAATTTTTTTACTTTTTTATACTTTCATTACTGTTTTGTAATACAAACGCGATTGCATTTTGTATATTCAGGCTTATTTCTTCCATTAAATATTCATTTAGATATTTTTTTTTTTCGTTTTAAATTTATTTATAATCGTCAAATTATCTTCTCATGATATTACTGCATTTTCTAGACATTAATTTAAAAACTTGGGTAGCTGGAGGCGTTTAATATTATTCGAATTTATAAAAAGAAATGCCTTATATTTAATGGCCGTTTTCTAAATATATTTGCTAGTCCTTTTTCTCTATTTCATCTATTTTTATTTATTAGAACTTTTTTTGTAAAAAAGATATTCTTTGTATATTCTCTTCTTACCTTATTTTTATGTTTTAAATGGCTTTTTTAAGCTTCTATTAGTACTCTTTATTTTTTTATGATAAAGTATTCAAAAACTTCAAATAAGAGTTTAGTTAAAAAATTTCTTCATCAATTATTATTGTTGAAAGTTTTATGTTTGGCTAATCTTATTAACTTTTTATCAATAAATTCATTTAAATTTGTGTATTTTCTTATTTATTATTATTTTTTGTTAAAAAATTATAAATATAATAATTTATTTGTAATTTAATAAGCAAAAAAAGTATATATTATCATAAAAACTTTTTTTTTTTAATTAATTTTTAGTTTTCTTATCCTAATAAAATATAATATATTAAAAAAATGAGATATAAATGTAGATATCTTACAAAAAATTTTAAATTTGATTTTTATATTTTAATTTTTATTTAATTATATTAGAAATAAAAAAATATTATAATAATAAGTGCATCGTTTATAATATTTCAAAAAAAATATTTTTGAAAATAAAATATCTTTTAAATCTTTAAAAATAATAGATTTTATATTTTTTTATTAATTATATTTTAAAAAATATAAAATAAATTTAAGAAAATATAAGAAGTATTAAAAACATTAATAAAAATAAATATAATAAATTTATTTAGTCATATATATAATATAATATAATATTTTTTAAATATATTTATTATAATGTAATTATCATTTTTTAATTTTTTTTTCTATTGTCGATGTTTTTGTTCCTTTTTTATCTTTATCTTTAGAAATTTTCGATGAACTTTTTTAATTAATTGTAAAAAAGTTATCTAATCTCGACTAAGCACCTTTTTATTCTTTAGCTTTCTAACATAATAATAATATATTAAATAAATAAATTTAAACAAAAAAATACTAATATTCTACTAACTTAATTCATAACTCTATCTTCATTAAATCCTTTTTCTTAAACTAAAAATTATTTTAAGCCTTCAATATCTGGTTTCGTCCATTTTAACTAAATTTTTAAATAAATAAATAAATATATATTATAAAAGTCTATAAACATATAAACCTCCATTTTTTCGGGATCTTCAATAACTGGATTAAAGAACAAATCTCTAGCTCCAACATAATTATATTCGCTTGGAATTTTAAATTTTTATTTTTTAGAATTTTCATCATTTGCCTTTTCCATATAAGCAATCACATTTTCCAAAGTTAAATGTTCTTTAATTAATTTATAAGCCGTAATAGGCCCAATACCATCGATTCTAACTAAATAATCACATCCACAAAGTATGCACAAATCTACAAATTATTCCTATGTCAATTCTAATTCCTATAACATCAAATTATAATCGATTTCTATAATAGGCTCTTTTTTACTATTCAAACCCCTTAATAAAGTCGGAGTCCCAAAAGTTAAGGCATCCATATCTTCAGTTACTGTAGCGAATACTTTTTTAGCCTTTGTAAGAGCTGCACATTAAGCTTCAGCTTCACAAGGAGCTTGAATTACAGGAACTCCTAATAATTGGAGCATTTTAATCGCATCATTTTTCATGTCTTTTGTTATAAATAAATTTCTTTGTTCCATTTTTAAAGCTTCTTCCATGTCTCCAATATCTAAAGCTGCTTTCTATTTTTCTAATGCATTTGCTTTTGCTTTTTGTCTTTTTGTAAGCTTTTTTATTAATTAGTTTTTTATATTTAAAAAAAAAAAAATACTTCACCAGATTTAAATTCAGGGGGTTTTCCATCAAAAATCCATGCAGGCTTTATTCCACTATCAATAAGCATTACTGTACGATTAAATAAACCGACTAAATGAGCTGTTTTATTTCCATCTTTATCTGTTAAATTGTATATTTGGAAATCTGATGAACTACTTGTGGTAGCCAAAAATTAATACATTGCCTTTTTTATATATATACTAAATATTTTACTTTTATTTTTTTAAAAAACCATTGAAGCATCACATGCAACTTAACGACCTCCATAAAATTTTAAATCTGCTGTTTTTATACATTTTGGAGCTTTTTCTCTTAATAAATCCATTAGTTTATGAATTCCCATTTTTTTTGTTATTATATATATTTTTTTTAATATACCGCCTAATTATAAATAAAATATTAAAAAATAGATTTTACTTTTTCTTTTCTTAATAAAAAGTTTTAATTAAAATTAAATTAAAAAATGTTAAATTTTAATAAATATTAAAAATTTTCTAAAAATAAAAAATAAAACATATTAATGATTAATAAATCAAATATTTAATATTATAAAAATATATATATGTAAAAAAATTAAAATTATTTTTTTATAAAAAAATAAAACAAAAATATTCAAAATAAAACAATGGATAATTAATATAATTGTATGAAACTAAATTTAGATTAAAAAAATGAATCTAATGTAAATTCAACTTAACCTACTAAAATTCAATATATTGAAACACCTTCATACATACAGACAACTTCATATGTACCAACATCTTAATATATAGTTACACCTTTATATATTCAAGCACCTCCTCAAAGATAAGAATGGACAGAAATTATACCAATATAGAAAACCTATATTGATTATATTCCAGAAGTAAAAGTTGAGCATAGGCCAGTATAAAGAAAATATATAGATTATTTAGAAAAAAAAAATCTGACATATTATGAGCCAGTTCATAGATTAGAAAAGAGAACTGAATATTATAAGAAAAGAAAATTTAACGAATGTATTAAGTATATCCCACAAAACTATTAATATTATGTTTCAAGAAGTCCAGATTTAAGATTAAGAACGTCACAATTTATATATCCAATAGAAAAAAACAAATTATAATAAAGTTTTATTCAATAAAAATATATATGATATATTTATTTAAATAAAATTATATTTTCATTTTTCTTTATTACAATTTAATTTAATTTAAATTATTTATTTCTAGAATATATAACAGAAAAAAAAATTATTAATATTTTTGAAGAATAAATATTATGTATAATGTATAATTCTAAATATAATAAATAAAAATAAATAAATATATTCTAAGAATATTATAATTAAAAAAAAATTTTGAAAAAAAAAATTATAAATGCTTAACAAAAATATTAAAAAAATAAAAAAGCTTATGTAAAAGATATTAATATATATAAAAAATATATAAATATATATATATATATATATATTTATATATATTTTTATATTCATATTTATATTCATATTTTTATACATATTTCATAAATAAATAAAAGCAATTTTACATAATTTATATAAATTTTAATATTATATTAAAATTTTATTTTATATTTTTATAAGTTAAATTTTTTTTTATTTTTATGATTAAATTTGAAAAAGGATCTTATAAAATTAAAGAACCTTTATATGCTACTTTGACTTAAAAAGATAACATTCCATAATTTTAAATTAAAGTTAGTTTTATATACTATTTAGATCATTAATAATATATTTTAAAATAAAAAAAGCATTTTACAGATGTTATATTATAACCATTAGAATATTGTAAAATACTAATTTAATTAAATAATTTATTAATTTATTATATAGAAGTTAAATATGTAATAATTGAAAATAATGAATCTTAAAATTTATAAGTGAAAGTATTTATTTAATTTTTAAAACATATTCATATGATTTTTTTTAAAAAGCTAGATTTTAGTTATTTAGAATAAGTTTGTAAAGAATAGATTTAAATTTTAGATAACTTTGGTGTTATTTAAATAAGTAAAAATTAATATAAAATATAATATATAATAATCATAAAAAGATGAATTTAAATTTAGAGTTCCAATAATTGTATCAAATATATAAAATGAATTATGTGTAACTTTACTATGAAAAACAATATTACATATTTATATGTATTCTATCTTATTTTTTTAACTGTATTACCAGTAAAACATGGAAATTATAAACTTTCAAAAATAAAATACATAATAATAAACATTTATTTAATTATTTGTGTTTTTATAAATATTTAATTAAAAAGATATTAATTTAAAAAAAAAAAATTGTATAAAAATATAGTAATAATATATATAAAAATAAATATATTTAAAACTTTTAATATAAATTTTATTTATTTTATATAAATAAAAAAGTATTTTTAATTTAAAATAAAAAATTGTAAAAGATCTATAAATATGTATTATTTTTATTTCTTAAATATAAAAAATAATTAAAATATCTATAAAATATATAAATAAATATTTTATTTTAAATATTTAATTCATTTTTGTTAAGAATTATTGCAAGAAGCGACAATATCAGCAAATCCAGCTTTTAAAGAAGCTCCTCCTACAAGGAACCCATCAATATCTTTTTAAGAAATCAATTCATTACAGTTCTTTTCAGTAACAGATCCCCCATAAATAATTCTTGTTTCTTATGCAGCTTTTTGCGAAACTTAATTAGTCAAATATTTTCTAATAAAATCATGTACTTCTTAAGCTTATTCAGGGCTAGCAACTTTGCCAGTTCCAATAGCCCATACAGGTTCGTAAGCGATAACAACATGAACCCAATCAGCTTCACTTAATTTGCCTTTTATTTATTTTTTAGTTTAAATAAAGAATGTATTTACTTTTAATAGCTTAAAGTTATTCTTTAACAACATCATTTGTTCTGTTTGCTTCTCTTTCAGCTAAAGATTCTCCTACACAAGCTATTACTTAAAGGTGATTATCAACAGCTAATTTAACTTTAGATGCAACTAGATCATTTGTTTCGTGATAATATTGACGTCTTTCAGAATGTCCCAAAATAACCCATTTAAGACCCAAATCTATTAAATGTTAGACACTTTTTAATTAAAATAAAAAATTGATTTTTATTCCAAATATATTTTTTAAATAAATTACCTAAGTTCTCCTGTGTAAGCACCTTAACCTGTCGCAGAACTGTTTTAGGCAGCTACTTAAATGGTTTTTTAAATATTTTCTTAAACCCAAGGGATATGGACTGAAACAGGAGATACAACTACTTCGACTTTTTAGTTATCAAATTTTATGTTGTTTAAGACATTATTAACTAAATCTTTACTTTGTTATAAAGTATTGTTGCATTTCCAATTTCCTCCAACAAAAAATTTTCTTTGTCCTTGCATTTGATATTTTTTTTTTTTATTTATTTGGTTTTTTTTTTTCAATTGATTATAAAAAAATATGATTCAATAATATGACTTTTATTAATAATTTATTTGTATATCTTAATTTGTTTATTTATTTTTTTCAATATAAAAAAAATACAAATGGAATTTAAAATTAAGTATCAATATAAATATATAATTTATATTTAAATTTTATTTAAGAGTAAAATTTTGTGATTTTTCGATAATAAATATATTTTATATTAGTTAAAATAAATATAAGCTTTTTTATTTTATTTGATTTATAAATAAAATAAATTAAAAATTAATAATAATAAATTATAAAATTGATTGTAATATTAAATATAAAAAAAGTGTTTATTCTGGCTTTTTATAATATTTTAATCAATTATAAAATAATTTTTTTATATTGTAGAAAAATATAATAACAATTCAAATAGGTCTATTTTTTATATTATTAAAATAAAAATTATATATATAATTATTATTATATAATACAAAAATTTAATAAAAATCTTTGTATAAAATATATCATTTAATAAAAAACAATTAAAATGAATTAGGCAACACAAATTTAAAGAAATATTAAAACATTATAAAATTCAGTAAACTATATTTTCATAGATTATTAGAATAGAATAAAAGATTCTGCTTAAAAAGAAGAAAAAGCATAATATTATGAATATTTGGATTGCCTTTAAAGGCAACTATAAGACGAAATCGATAACTTTTTTGTTCTATTGAAAAGTAAATTAATTTTAAACCAAAAGATAATAAAGAAATATAAAAAATATAAAAAAATTGAAAAAGATTAATTATCCTAAAATCTTGAATAAAAAGAAGAAGAGAAGGCAATTAAAAAATGTTTATATAATATTTCAAATAGAAATAATAGTATAAAATTTTATATTTATATATTTTTTTATTAATAGGAAAAGATAAATAATATTAATGTTAATAATAATAATATAAAAAATAATTATAATAATAATTTTAATAATAATAGTAATTAATATACATACACTAATATCAATATTTAAAAAAACAGTTAGAATGTAAATAATAATAATAATCAATAATTATAATAATAAAATAATAAATTGAATAATACTTAAGAAATTGATTAGAACAAAATAGATATTTAAATATATTCAAATAATAATGATTTAAATACAATTTATAAAAAAAGTAAAAATCTAGGTAAAAATAAAATTTATTCTTACACATTAGAAGAATAACAAGCAATAGTAAGCTTTTGGGATTTCCATTATTGCTAAAAAAAAAGGAATAAATACTAAGTAGCAGAATATTTGTAAACGAAAATTGGATCATCTATAAGTACTATAATAAACCTGATCAAAGATATTTAAAAAAAAGGATTTAGTGATTATGGAATTAGTAATTCGAAAAAAGGATTTATTTAAGAAATTAGTTATAAAGAATGGTGTTCGAAACAAAGTAAAGATTCTTATAATAATGAATGGGTTAATAATGTTCTAGAAAAAATAAAACAAAAGTAAAACAAATATTTCGTTTTAAATATAAATGTATGATTTAAAAAAAAAGATATTAGTATAAAAATTAGAAAATATAAAATAATGGTAAAAATATCTCAATTTTTTTAAAAATATATATTATGTTAATGACTAATTTATATTTAATGATTAATATTTAAAAAAATACAATAAAAAAAGAAATAAACTAAACTAATAATGAATAATAGTTTTTTTCGATAAAAGTTGAATACGATGAAAGCGAATAAGAGTCAGATCAATATTAATAAAAAATAAATGATTAATTAAATTATTATAATGATAAGACATTTAATTCTGATAATAATGAGTTTTAATAGATAAATAAAGAGAAAAATATATCTAAAGTAAACAAAATTTTATAAATATATATAAAAAAAAAAGAAGAATATTATTTGAATTATGAGATTTATCTTTAAGAATTTTTTATTAAGTCATATAAAGAATTATTTTTTAAAAAATTCTATTTTAAATTAAATATATTTATAAACTACTTAAAAGAATAATAAATGAAAAACATTAAAATAATATATATAAAAAAATTAATTAATAAAATATAAAAATTAAATATATATTTTGTAATATGAGGATAAAAAATTAAAATTACTTTATTATATATATAAATGTAATATATTATAAAATATATAAATTAATAATTTAAAATAAAATAATGACTTTTAAAAAAAATAAAAACACAATATATTAAAAAAAAAAAATTTATAAAAATAATTTTATTTATTTTTTCATTTTTTTCCACCACTACTACCACTTCCTTTTCTTTTTTATTTACCAGCAAGAGGAGCTTCTTATTCTTCAGATTCTCCTTCATCTTAATCTTCATCATCGTATCCTCCTTTTTAAACTCCCAAATAATATTCAAGAGAATAAGGAATGATTTCATCAACAAGGGTTTTAAAGATATCAAAATCAATATTTAGTCTATCATTATCGAAATCTTAATCTTCTTCAGCATCTTCCTTATCTTAATCTTTCAAAGGTTCAGAATCATCAAAGAAATTGAAGAATGATTCTACTTTAGTTTCTTTTTCAACGACTCTTTTAGCACCTAGTTTTTTTATTTTTTAAGTTTTTTTAGTAATTTTAATAGTTGTATTTTTTCCTTCCTTCCATTCAATTTTGGTTCCTGTAGTTTTCACAGGTTCATCATCTTCATCTAATTCAACAATCTTTTTAAGAACAGTGTTTGTGAAATAATCATTAGGTCCAAAAGTGAAAATTACTTCAACTAAAGTTGTAGATATAGGATTATATTCGATTTTTAATAAAGATTTTAAAGGTTCTGCATCTTATTCTTTTATTTCGACGGCTAATATATCGTTTTCCCACATGGCCTTCAACCAATATTCGTTCAAAGGTTTTGCTTGACTCTTTTCTTCGTCTAATTTATCATTTTCACCTTCTTTTAAGTATTTTTATAAATTAGAAAGCTCTTCATCAGTTGGAATGGCTCCTTCAACTAATTATTGGGTCTTTTTTATTTAAAAAAATAGATAAATTAATGTGTTTAATATATAAATTCTTACTCTAACATATATTGGCTTAGATAATTATTCATATTCGAACTTTAATTATTATAATTTCTTTTAGAGTTCGGCATCTAAAGTTTTTTTTTCTTATAAATGAGCGTTTATTGCCACTGCTCTTACTTTTTCACCTAAAGGAAGTTCCTTTAAGGCTTCTTCAATTTGTTCTTCGACAGTCTTTTCGATGGATTCGTTGTCCTTTTATTCGGCAGCTGCTTCCTTTTTATTTAATATATATACATAAATATATTTATATTACTTATGCTGACATATTTTCTATTTTTTTTATTTTATTTTTTAAAATATAATATATTATAAAAAAAAAATATATATATGTTTTATATAAATTATTTTTGGCTTTTTTTTAGTAATAATAGTATTTTTTTTTATTTTTATATTTTTTTTTTTTCAAAATATTATTATTTTAACTATTTTATAATTAAAAAAGAAAATTAATTTAGACTTTTTATTTTATACTTTATAAAAATAAAAAGACAACGATAAAATAAATATTAATAATCTAAAAAAAAAAAAATTATATCATAAATAATATTTATTTAAAATTTATTATATTATCCAATAATATATATAATATTTAAAATATTATAATTCTTAAATTAATACAAATTTATTTTTATTTTAATATTAATTAATTTATAATTAATTCTTTTTTTAAAAAATTGAAAAAATGAATAAAATAATATCATTTTAAAATTAAAATGACTGGGAAAAAATATATAAGCCATTCTTAATTAAAATACAGGAAAATCATTATCAAAACATAAATATATTTGTATAAGATTTTGAGAATCTCCTTAAACAAATACCACATCTAAATTTCAATAATATTTAAAACATTAAAAATTTTTATATACAAATATCGCAAAACGAACCAAAAGATTATTTTTTAAATGAATTTCTTCCTCAGTTAGCTGCGTTAAGCTTAAAAATTGAAAATATATTAACCCTAGACTACAAACTAAAAAAATATGATCCAAAACCAATAACATTAACAAGATTATAAATAGCAACTGTCCTCGCAAACATGTTTTTTTGTACAATAGACCATGAAAAATACCATTCATTAATAATATGGTACGAAGACAATCATAGAAATTAAACAAAAATAGAAAAACTAAAATGTCTATATAATTATTTTAAACGTATTTTGGAATACCAAAATTTAAATGAAGAAATTACAATAATTAGACTCCAATATAAATAAGATTAAGAATTGACAAATACAAAACTGAATAATAAAGTTTAAATATTCACAGATAAAAAAATCGAAAATTTTACTGACGACTTTTCTATATAAATAGATTTTTCTAATCAATCTATTGGGGGTGGTGTTTTAGATTCAGGACGTGTTTAGGAAGAAATAATGTTTGTAACACACCCGGAATTGTTAATAACTACATAAATATGTGAATAAATAGAAGACTAAGAAGCTATTCTTATCATAAATGCAATGAGATATTCAGAATATACAGGTTATGCAGAAAGTTTCGCTTTTGATAAAAATTATGTTGATTTAAGAAAAACTACAAGGATAGTTGCAATTGATGCTTTATTTTTTTAGAAAAAAATTCTATAAATGTAATATTAAAATGGGCCTTTGTATAGAGAATTAGTAAAAGCCTTGACAGGATTTTAAGTTAATTAATTTACACCTAAAGAGTGTAAGATAGTTACTGGAAATTGGGGATGTGGGGCTTTTTAAGGCGATGTTTAATTAAAATTTATTATTTAGTGGATTGCTTGTTGTATGTAAGGAAGAGATATGGTTTATTGTACTTTTTAAAATGAGAAGTTGAAGGATATGGAGGGGATTATCGAGTTACTGGAGGGTTAGTGTGCGGGAAATATTATTAATTGTATAAAAGAATATTAAAGTTTTTATAAATAAATTGATTTATTTGGATTTATTTTTTAAAAATTTAGTAATAAATGAATAAAATTTTTATCGTAATTTTTTTTTTTAATATATAAAAATTTCACAAAAAAATTAAATAAAATAAATTAAAATTTAATATAAAAATTTTACATTTAAAAACTATAATCGTAGAAAAACATTTTTATTTATACGAATAAAAATTAAGATGGAAATAAATATGTATTTTTTGCTGTTTATTCGGAACTCATGTATTAAATATCGAAAAAGGGAAAATACCTCAAATTGTAAAAATTATTTATTTTAAATGATTTTTTTTATTTGTTAGTGAAAATTATTTTATATGCTGTCGATTTTATTTTGTTGGTATATTTAACAATTCTTCATTCCAGTTTATGAAAAAGGTTACATTTAATATTTTAAAAAATCGAAGATTTATTTATTTTAAATATGAGGATATAAATAAGCTTTATAATTTTAAAAACAAAATATTCAATAAACTAAAATATTGAACTAATTAATATACATAAATTGTTACCCTAATACTATATATTTATTATTAAAAAAAAAATTGTATATTGTTCATAAAAATAATATATTTAAACTATTCTAATTTTAATTTAGATTAAATGATAAAATAATTAGAAAATCCGTATAGTAGAATTTATCAATACACAATAGCTAATATTTAATTACTTAAAATAAATATATAATATTTTTTTCATAACAATTTAAAGATAATTGGTAAATCTATATTTTAGAAAAAAGGAATGGCATAAATACTATGTAATATCAACTCCCTTCTATTAATATAATAAACTGAAATATTTTCTAGATATAAAAATTAATAAAAAAAGTTTTATAAAAAAATACATAAATTATAATCTAAAATAATGTTAAGTATATCAAAATAATAAGTGGGCATTTTTTAAAATAAGTAATAATAATAATTATATGAATTTATATATACTGAATTCTAAAATAAATTATGAGAGAGAAAATGTTATTTATGTAATAATTATTATATTAAATAAATAAAAGTTTAGCAATAAATTTATTATGAATCAATTTATTTAAATAAGTAATTATTATTATTATATATATTAAATTATAAAGAATATCGGAATCAACAAAAAATAAAAATATTGATGATTTGTTATATTAAAAAATTTAATTAATTATGATGTTTTTGATATTTTTGGAACACTTGAGGAATAAGATTATGATTTTTTTTAATTAAAATTATTTATATAATATTTTATAATATTGTGATAATATATTTTCAAATAATGATTTAGATAAATATAGATTAATAATAATTAATTTATAAATAAATTTCGATTTTAAAACCTTCAATTAATTATTAATAATGAAGCTTATGACTGTTTTTTGTAAAAAGTTATTAATTAAGAATAGATGTAAAAAGAGTTATGAGTTTACTAAATGAAAAGATAAATAAGATATAAAAAAAATAAAAATAAAAATACAATATTATTTTATATTATTAATAAATTAGATATTTTATATATTTAATACTAAAAAAATATTAAACTTTTTATTTATTAAATTTTATTATATAAACTAAAGTTTATTAATGATAATAATAGTATTTTAGTTACTTATTAAAAAAATGAAGTAATATTAATAATAATTAATATGATTTTATTAGATTTTATAAAAATGAATTGATTCATGTTTATTTTAATAAATGTTGATTTACCACAAAAAAAAAAAATATGCAAATAATTAAATTAATAATATCATATTAAAAAATTAAAAGAAAAAAAATTATAAAATGCACAAAAATAATTAAGTCCCAAACCAAAATTTATTATAATAATGGATAGACGGTCCCATTTCAGATTAACCATTAGAACCCGGACACGGTCGAGGTATTTTTTGTTTAGATATATAAGGGGATTGGTTAGTAACAGGTTCAGCAGATCATGGACTTAGAGAATATAATATGTTTCCATAAAAAAAAAAAAAAAATCAAATATTTTAATATATAAAAAAAAGTTCAACAAATTCATACAGAAGAGAACTTTATGCAAAAAAATATGGGCATACAGAATGGGTTACTAGTGTAAAATATTTAACTGACGGAAGAATCATATCTGCAGGAATGGATAGTTAATTATGTTTATGGGATAGAGGAGCTGTAAAATGTGATCATATTAAAGGACATGAGTATTTATTTTTAGATATAAAAACAAAAATATTAATATAATAAATATATAGAGGGAGTGTTACTAAAGTATTAATAGATGAAAATAATATTTGTGTAAGTTCTTCTTATGATTGTACTTTATATATTTGGTAAAAATATATTTTTTTAAAAATATATTAAAACAAATATACATATAGGGATTTAAATACAAAGTAAAATGCAATAAGATTATTTGGTCCACATAAAGACGCAGTACTTGATTTTGCATGGAATAATTCATTAATTGTGAGTGGAGATAAAACAGGAACAATTGCTTTTTGGGATATTAATACAGGAACAGCCATAAAATCTTCAAAAATACACAAAGGAGCTGTTTCTTAAATATTGTTATATTCAGATGGATCTAATCATAATTATATAGTTTCTGCTGGATTGAATGTATTTTTTTGTTTTTAATTATATAAAATAAAATATATATATTAAATATTTAAAGGATGGTGCAATAAGTTTCTAAGATATGAGAACTAATAAAGTTGTTAATAATACATAGATACATCATGGTGCAATCAATGCACTTGAATAAAATTTATCAGGATAAAGTATTAATATATTTAATTAATAATTTTTTATAATTTAAAATAAATAATAGTTGTTACTGGAAGTGCAGATAAATCTATTAAAATTACTGATATTTAAAGCGGATTTAAATAGTTATCAACTATGAAAGCTACTGATATGGTTTATTGTTTATAAACTATTTATAATTTAACTCTTGCAGGATGTGGAGATGGAAATATTCTTTGTTTTGAAAATGATCATGGAAAATCTTTATATGGGTTTTTTTTTATTATAATTAATAAAAATAATTTTAATTTTTTATTAAAGATTTGGGGCTATGAGTAAAGGAGTAGTTAGATCTATGAAAATAAATGATAAAAGCACAAAGTATTTTTTTTTTTTTATTATTTAATAATAATTTAAAAGATTGGTGGCTATTGGAGATGATTTTAGTCCTTTTGTTATAAGTTATGTATGAGAAAGTAATATATTAAAATAGAAAAATTATTCTAATTAATTTTTAGTTTAATTATTAATAAAAAAATATAAAATTTTTATATAAAAAAAAAAAATATTAATATATATCAAAAAAAACATTATTTTAAAATAATTTAAATATATTAATAAAAAATTTTATAATTATAAAGATAAATATATTTATTAATTTTAAAAAATTTTATAACCTGATTATTTAAAAAAAGTGAAAATTAAAATAAATAAATATAAAAATATTTTATATTAAAATTTAATTTAATTTAATTTAATTTAATTTAATTTAATTTAATTTAATTTAATTTAATTTAATTTAATTTAATATTTTTTTTTTTCTATATTTAAATGAAAAAAAATATACAATACAAAATAATAAAAATAAATATAAACATAAACATAAGAGACATTACAATAATATATATTATTTAATAATTTTTTAGTAATATTATTAAAAAAAATATATATAATTCATCCATAATTTATATTCAAATAATAAAAATAAGAATAGATTATAAAAAATAAAAAAATTATAATAATAAAATTAATAACTCATATGCGAATTGTTAAATTTTTTTTTTTTTGTTATTTTCAAATAGAAGATAAAGTTAATTTATTAGCTACATCAAGATCTTTAACCATTTTTTTAAATTCATTAAATGAAATCCTTCCATCAAAATCTTCATCAGCTTTAATAATAGTTCTATCAACTAACTGTTAAAGTTAAACATCGTTTAAATTATTTCCAACCATCATTTTTAAAACTTAAAATAATTCACCGTTTGATATGTAACCATCTCCATCAATATCATAAACTTTAAAAGCAAATTTAAGTTTTGCCTCCTCATCATTTGAATATAATGAACTTAGTCCAGTAATAAATTCCTCAAAACTTATACTTCCATCTTTATTTTTATCAAAAATCATAACAACCCTTCTTACTAAAGGATTTTAGTTTAATTCTGGGAGACTCAAAAATTCTTCAATATCTAAATCTCCAGATTTATCTTTGTCCATTCTTTTGAAACTTTTATAAAGCTTTTTCATTTCTTAAGGCGTAAAATTGCATGGATTTTCTCCTTGTGTATTTCCCATTTTTTTTTTTTCTTGTTTATTTTTTATTTTTTATTTTTAAAATTTTTTTTATTTTTTTTTATTTATAATTTTTTTTTTATTAAATGATTTTTTTTTTTTATAAAAGTTAATATTTGTTTTTTTTATTTAATTTAAAAATATTAAATTAAATTAAAAATATAAATAAAATATAAAAATAAATAATGGATTAAGAAGATTTAAATATAGAAAATTAATAAAATGAAGAAGATGAAGAAATAATGATTCCAATAACAACATTAACAAAAGTTTCTAATTATATAGATAGATATTTTGTACGTTTTTATAGAATTTATTAAAAAGACTATTAATGTTTAAATTAATATGCATTTTAACATACAAATAAGTAATATTTATTTCTTAAAAAAAATATAGAAATAAAATATAAATTATATAATAACTTTTTAGTAATAAAATATAATATAAGGCTTTGTTTAATTGGAATAGCACCAGAACATGATTTAATTAGATTAAAAAAAAGTATATAAAAGGTTTCGTTTGAAAAAGTTTATTAAGGCGAAATGTCTTAATTAGTAAAAGGAAAAAAAAAAGTAAAATTTTGTTATATAATAATAGAATAATTTTTATTATATTTATTTGAATTTTAATAAAATAGAAGGAGGTGTCAAAACTACTGAAAATAAAATTATTGGCGAAATATTTTGCGAAGATGGAACTATTTATGATATAAGAGGAGTTATAGATGGTTCTTTAATAGAATTTAATGATAATTTATTTAAAAATCCTAATTGGGTTGTAGATTTTGTAAAAACATATTTTTATTTAGTTTTATTTTTATTAAATAAATAAAAAAAAGTGTGAAAGTAAAGGATATCTAGGAATTATTAATATAGGAAAGAAAACAAAATTATAAACTAAAGATATATTATCGCAAGAAGAATATTAAAAAATTATCTAAAAATGAGTGAATATTATTCATTTAATATTTAAAATATAAAAGAGTATAAAATATTAATGAAATAGAAAAAAAAAAAATTAATTAATTGATAATTTTTTTTCTAAAAAAAAAAAATATATATTTAAATATCTTATTAATAATCATAAAATAATAAAAAATATAAAAAAAAATAACATAATTATTAAAAAAATGTCCTTTTTAAATAAATTCAAAAAAAATATAGATTAACCTCCAGAAGGAGTAAAAATTGAATACTCTTCATTTGGATAAACTGGACCTTCTTATAATAATAACATTTTAAGTTAATCGTAATATACGAAAACAGAAGTTAGAAAAATTGAAGGAGAAAAAACAGTAAATAAAAAAATATTTAAAAATATAAACAAATATAGTATGGGCATAATAAGAACAATAACTACAGTAAAAAGAAAGCTTAAATTAAAAATAAGGAAAACCTAATTTTTTATAGAAAAAAAATGTAGCTTAATAATAATAATAATAATAATAAAATTAAAAATAAAATTAATAATAATATATATAATAAAATGATGAATAAATATAATAATAAAAATAAATATAAATATAAAACAATATAAAAAAACAAGAAGAAATTAAAGTTAAAAAATATTAAAATAACGATGAGTATTAATTATTAAATGAAAACGATTTAGATTTTAAAGAATTGTAATATATTTATTTAAAAAATATATAGATAATTGATTTTAATTTTTAAAATTAATATTTTTTTAAATATTTAATAATAAAAAATAAAAAAATAGAAATTTTTGTAAAAAATTAGTTAATGATGTAACTTGTGAAGGTGGTATAAAAATTAAATAATAAGAATAATATTTAAATGAATTTGTAGATGATTGCTCTAAATAATAACCAAATGTTATATTATCAATTTTAATTTAAAAATTATTTTCTAATGAATCGCTAATTGTTAAAAAAGTATATATATTTAAAAAAAATATGTATATATATATATATATATATATAAATATATATATATATATATTTATATATTATATTTAATTATTATTTTGTTTATATAAACATATTATATATTTTTTTTATATATAAACTCTTTTATTTATATATTTTTTAAATTTTTTGATATATTGTAATATAGAGAAGTTTATTTGCAATATAGGCATTAATTAATAAAAATTAAAAATATTAATAATTTATTAATAAGCATTCAAAAATTTTAATTTAAACAAAAGAATAGAATTTAAACGATAAAGAATACATTAATATTTTAAATGAACTTCTTGGAGAAAAAAATAATAATGTATAATAATAATTTTTATATTT